TTGTTTTGTTCTGCTGTGCATAAGGTCGCTATGAGTTGGTGCCGACTCGATGGCACCTAACAACAAAGAACAACAACAATATACCATGACCGTGTGCCTCTGGCTTCTAGCAACTTCTCTGCAGGGGATGGGTTCGTGTAGGGACTGGCCATGTTTCCAGTCACTAGGAGAATCTTGGGAATGAATCACACCTTTTTTGTTGTTGTTGTTGCCAGCCTATGGTGCATGTCTGTGTAATCAGACTGTTGCGTAGAGTGAATGCTGGTGGAAAAGTTGAAAATGGCCACGTCTTGTCTGGCCAGGCAACAGTTTCTGTCTGTGTTCTATCTCACTGCCCCTGTTCAGATTTGTCAAAGTATCCTCGGCAGTGCAAATGATTAAGCAATCAGCTGCTTAACTGCAAGGTTAGTGGTTCACATCCTTCTAGCTGCTCAATGGGAGAAAGGTCTGGCAGTATGCTTTTGTAAAGATTACAGTTTAGAAAACCCTATGGAACAGTTCTGCTCTTTTACATTGCATCTCTATGAGTTAGTGGCATGTAAGAATATGTCATTTTACAAACTAATCAATGTTGAATAGCATGAAGAAAATATTTGACCATATGAATCAAGATTTCATTGATTTGAGATAGTTTTAAAGTTTGGAATCTGTTTTTACTTGGTGTAATATTTTGGAAAGATGAACAGTTTTTGTTTAAGGAAATAAATGAGTTGGCAAAAATGAGCCAAACTTTTTAAAAATGAATTGTCCAAGGACCTATTGTATATTGTTTCTTCCTTCTCAACTGCATCTTTGCTTTCCTTTTCTACTCTAAATTCAGTGTGTTATTGTTATTTATGCTGCTGTTCAGATCTCTCTCCTCTCATTGCGCCCTCTTAACTCTACAGCACTTAACAACAACAGCGGTATTAGTAATAGTTATTTGATAAGTGGTAGGATACATTGATATTTAAAAATTTCTTTGCTCTTTTTGGCATTGCAAAGATCTTTAGTGGCGCTGATGAGCTGCTAAGTCCGAGGAACAATCAAAGAATGAAAAAAATCTGAAGAAAGTCTAAGATTTATGTGGAACATCATCAAGAGGAATAATTTACCTGTGATTGGAATTCCAGATCAGGAAGAGACAAAAAAAAAAGCACAAATCAAATTGTTAAGGAGTTGTTGGAAGAAAACTTCCCTAACATCATGAAAGACGAGAAGATAGGATTTCATGAAATGGAATGAACCCCAAGCAAGATAGACCCCAAAAGAACATCACTAAGACATGTCATAATCAACCTTTTCTCAAACCATAGACAATATAAAAGATTCTTTTGATTCAAATCTTTTAAAAATAAGTTTGTATTTGTTTATAGTGTTGTATGTGTGATTTTATGTTTGATCACAGTATGAATATTAGGGCTACGTGTAATTATTTTTGAAGCTTTAATTGTGAATTTCATGAATGTTTACAGTATATGTAATTTTTTTGTCTTGTTTAATAGGCCGTGTATCACAATGTGAAGCCAGCAGCTTTGCAGCAACAGTTAGAGAACATTCATCTTAGACAAGACAAAACTGAAGCATTTGTCAATGCTTGGTCTACAATGGGTCAAGAAACAGTTGAAAAATTCAGGCAGAGGATTTTGGCTCCACACAAGGTATACACTATATTGCTCCAGATATATTTTGGGATAAATTGTTATATCTGAAGAATTTTATTTTTTTTTTAAAGTTTTTATTGTGAACTGAGTGATAGTTTACATGAGAGACCATTGGCTTTACACCATCGTTTCATTGCATTGATTACAATCTCTGTGCATCATCATTCAAGAGTATTTACTTCCATTCCCTTTTTTTTTTTTTGAGGGGAAGGATGTACACAGAACCACTCAGGAATATATAATAATATAAACAACCAAAGGGCACATTCTGCAAACCTGCTTCTTGACTGCCAGTCCCAGTCCCTCTCTTTCCAAGAGTGCGGAGTCCTCAGCTGCTCCCTCTCTCCATATCCTTATCTCTGCCTCTATCTCTGATGTGTCTGCTTCTCTGGATAGGGTCCTGCATTTCGCTTGTGCTTTTCTCCTTTGATGGTCCTAGGGTCCTCTGTTTCTGTATGGTAAGATTAACTACTCCCCTGTTTTTGTTACAAAACTTCTACAGTTACAGTTGTGACGTCCCAATTAGTTATGATAACAATTGCTATTGAATCATAAGAATCTTATCCCCATCTCTTTTCACTAGAACCGTCTAAATAAGATGAAAACGATTCAATGGGGGTCTTTGCCTTCCTCCACACACTCTTATGCTAAACTCCCTTTTGAAAATTTGTAAGCCAGTCACTTCATGCCTTTATTGTCCCCTCATTTTAGGTAGCCAATGTCTAAGTTGCCCATCCCTATCTACCCTGTATACAGAGGGGATAGGATTGATACTTGATGTGAAGACTCCTTTCCTCTCAGTTGATATTTTGAGCTACTACATCCATAAGTATAGATCAAGTTCATCAAATTGTAGCAATTTATACTCGTTTCCTTTATCAAAAATTGTTTTTTTAATCTTCTAGTTGAGTTCTGATTATCAAGCCATCGAGGCTAGGTAAAATGGGTACTGTCTGCAAGTTTAGGTATTCTCGTGTGTCTCCCCTCACTTCATATCATCTGGATGCTTCACTCTCAGCTCTCGCCCTCTGTGGCTATGTCCTTGTCCATGGGCTCAGGTGTCCCAAGGTCTCACCACACTTTGGACCAACCAGCTCTTCCTCTTCTCTCTCTCATATCCAGATCAACAGGAATCTATGGAATGTGGTTGAACTCAGCCCATTTCTTCATTGCTGCACTCACCAATAGATCAACCTGGTCGCCAGCAAGCTTACATTCCTATTCATGTGTTCTTTTTGAGGTTCAGTCTTGAAGCGGGGATTTGTCCTAAGGGACTTGATTGCTTGCCTTGATGGCTCCCCAGTGAACAACTTGCTTATTCTTGTAGTAGCCAGTCACACTCCCATTTTTGTTTTGGATTGTTCTGCTGAATTTTGTTTTCAAGAAGTATCTTCTGATGCTCTAGCTATTCCAGGCTGGTGTGCTTGTCTTTTATAGTGGGAATGTCCTACCTCAGAAGGTTCTGGATGGGGCTCAGGATTCCACCCAAGGTCTTATACACTGCAAAGGCACTACAGGAAGCCTATTTCACTGGGCAAGTTCTAGAACTCCTTTTAGGTATTCCAATCAGTTACAAGCTGAATATGAGTTTACAGGCATTCTGTCATCATGTTTCCCAACATTCCTTTCTATTCCACTCGTGTCTATTTTACAATAGTAGGCAAGGTAAACCAATATTCATAAAACAGTCAAGCATCTTAACATTATTTCCCCTCTTCAGACTATGCCTCAATCCCTGTATCACAGAGCCCTGTATCACTATTTACCTCTGTCCCTTTTAGCCCATGCAAATCTGTCTGTGTTCCCCTATCTACCTTGTTCTTTCATTCTCATCCCCCTTACTGTGTATTGCCTTCCCCAATACTCGAACTATGATGTGTCTACTCCCTACACTATGCCCAACCGTTCCCTCCCCCCAGTCCCCTCAACCTCCCCATTCACCCCCACTAGTAACCAATAAAGATTTTTTTTTTCATGTTAGTATGGGTATCTTTTCTTAAGCTTTTACAATAATGGTCTTATGTAGTATTTGTCTTTTTGTGAATGACTAATTTTACTCAGCATAATGTCCTCAAGATTCATTCATATTATGTGGTGGCTTGCAGTTTCCTTGTTATCTGAAGAATTTTTAAGTTGATAACATTTTGTTGGGAGATTGTTTTTAGGTAGCATTGAGTTGATTCTGACACATAGTGACCCTGTGCACAACACAGCAAAACACTACCTTGTTCTGCCCCATCTCAAAATTGTTTGCTTGAGCCCATTGTTGCTGTCACCATGCCAACCATCTCATTGAACATCTTCTCTCTGTCGCTGACCCTCCACTTTACTAAGCATGATGTCCTTCTTTAGGGACTGGTCCCCCTTGATATCATGTCTCAAGTATGAGAGAAAAAGTCTTGCTATCCTGGCTTTTAAGTAGCGTTTTGGTTATACTTCCTTCTAACATAGATTTGTTTGTTCTTCTGTCAGTCCAGAAATAAATAAAAGTTATTTTATTTATTTAACTTTTTATTGTGAATTGAGTGAAGGTTAACAGACAAGATCATCAGCTTTACATTCAAGCATTGTGCTTTAATATTCTTCTCTAGCATCATAACTCAATTGCATCAGTTATTTTACAGTCTTCTTTATGCATCGTTGAATTTCACAGGAATGTGATGCTGTTGAAAATGCTATGGTTTGGGACAGGTGCACCTTAGTCCTCGAACTGAACGTCTTTGCTCTTGAGCACTAAGAAGAGGTCCTGTGCAGCAGATTTGCCTAGTGCAATACGACCTTTGATTTCTTGACTGATGCTTCCTTAAGTTTGTTGAGAGCTTGTTGTTGTTAGGTGCCATCGAGTTGGTACTGACTTATAGCGACCCTGTGTACAACAGAATGAAACACTACCTGGTCCTAGGCCAACCTCACAATTACTGCCATGCTTGAGCCCACTGATGTTGCCAGTTGGCCAGTCCATCTCACTGGGGATCTTCCTCTTTTTCTCTGACCCTCCACTGTACCAAACATGATATCTTTCTCTAGCGTCTGGTCCCTCTTGACAATGTGTCTGAAGTATGAGAGGTAGGGTCAGGCAAAAGAAAATATATAAATACATACAATATATGCACTATTTAGTTTCTACCTATGAGTGCTGTGAAGAGTCCTGCTGTTAATATTTTTAGGTTTGAATACCTCTTTTAAATTCACTGAGTTTTATTCCTAGGAATGGACTTGGTTGGTCATATGGTAATTCTATGTTAGCTTCTGAGGAATCACCAAATCATTTTCTATAGCAGCTGTATCAGTTTTCATTCCCACCAGAAATGGATCAGGGTGTAAATTCTCCACATTTTCCAACATTTGTTATTTTTTATTTTTATACCCTTCCTTTTGTTGCGACATGGGAGAAAGATGAGATTTTCTGCTCCTATAAAGGTTGAAGGAAAGCCTATACATGGTCTTTGTGAGTCAGAACCAACTTGACAGCACACACCAATAATAGCTAGTTGTGATGTGGCAGTTCATTGTGGATTGGCTTGTATTATCCTTTGTGGCTAATGTTGTTGAGTGTCTTTTCATGTGTTTGTTGGCCATTGCCTTTGGACAAATGTATCTTTAGCTCCTTTGCCCATTTTTAAATTGGGTTATGTGTCTTTTTGTAGCTGAGTTATGAGAGTTCTTTATGTATTCTATGTATTAAACCCTTATCAGCTATTTGATTTTCAAATATGTTCTCCCATTCTGTGGATTGCCTTTTGACTGCTTTTTTATAGTGACCTTCGAAGCAAAAAAATTTTAAATTTAGGTGAAGTCTTTTTATCTAGCTATTTTTAGTTACTTGTGCCTTTATTGTCATATCTAAAAAAATTAAAACAAGGCCATAAAGATTTTACTTATATATTGTGTTCTTTAGTTTTATAAAAGTACCTTTTATATTTAGATCTATAATCCATTTTGAGTTAAGTTTTGTGTATGCTCATTCAGCTTAAAATTCATGTGTTGTAGAAATCGAATTCTCTGGGAGTTATAGCAGTTTGGTTTGCAGCAAAAATGCTTTCTTTTATTTCCTATTTCATCAGATACACAATTAAGGTGTATATTTAAGAGTTGGAATTGAATGTAACAATTTTTACATCATCAAGAATATTCTTAAGTGAAGTAGCTTTTTCTTGTTTTTTTTACATTGAATTTATGAAGGTGAAGAGTATAATGACCATTTATACCAATTTTTCCATTGTGTTTTTTAGTTGTTTTTTGTTGTTGTTGTTGTTAAGTGCCGTCGAGTCAGTTCTGACCCATAGCGACCCTGT